CTCCTGGCCGGATCCGGCCCGCGGGCTGTAAGCCGACCCCTGACCTAGAAGGCCTTAAAATCGGGTATTAACCTCTGCGTCTCGTAACGGCGCACACGCTCGTTTTTTTCCGCGACGCGCTAGCTCCACCAGTGGCGAGACGGCGATGGGGGGGGGGGTCGTACCCGCCCCCCCCTCGGCCGGCGTACGTAGAAAACAAATAGGTCCAGCGAGCAGTAGCGGCGGAACACCTTCAATTAGGGGGGGGGCACGGCACTGCCGACTTTTAGTCCCATTCTTTCCATGCAGCGCCCATAGGGCTACTGTTAAAAGGCCAAAATTAAAGAGGGGAACGGTGCCCCGGTGGCCGGTGCCCTCCCCGTTCCGCCGCCTATGCCGGCGAGGGTACAAGAGATTATATTGTCATTCATCGACCGCGAAAAAAAGAATGTCCGGGACACAAATGATATGGAATGTTTCAATTCTCGGCTCCCGAATACAATAGCTTCACCTGACAGACCTCATCTACCTGACATCAAAAGTTTCGATCATCCATTCCATGCATTAAATTCGTCAATCACTTGATGGTCTGATATTTCTTCATGGTTTTATTGAACCACATTTGTGGACGAATGTTTGCGGAGACGAAGATAGCGGAGACAAAGGTTTGCGGACGAAAATATGCGCAGACAAAGATTTGCGGACGAAGATTTGCGTGGACGAAGAAATGCGTGGACGAAAAATGCGGACGAAGATTTGCGGACGAAGATTTGTGGACGAAGATTTGCGGACGAAGATTTGCGGACGAAATTTTGCGGACGAAGATTTGCGGACGAAGATTTGCCGGGACGAAGATTTGCGTGAACGAAGAAATGCGGACGAAGATTTGCGTAGACGAAGAAATGCGTGGACGAAAAAAATGCGGACGAAGATTTGCGGACGAAGATTTGCGGGGACGAAGATTTGCGGACGAAGATATGCGCAGACGAAGGTTTGCGTGGACGAAGAAATGCGGACGAAGATTTGCGTAGACGAAGAAATGCGTGGACGAAATAATGCTTGACGAAGAAATGCGCGTACGAAGAAATGCGGATACGAAAAAATGCGCTACGAATATTTGCACTTACGAAGAAATGCGAGACGAAGTTATGCGACACGAATAAATGCGCCGACGAAGATTTGCGGACGAAGAAATGCGGACGAGGAATTGCGCGACGAAGAATTGCCATACGAAGATTTGTCCGGTTACGGACTTAAACGGGACTTCAAGACTTGCCCCAAGATGACGTCACGAGCTGACGTCACGATCAGGTAGAATCGCCGGACGACCCTACCTGGTATATAGGGCCTTGAAGTGAGCCAATTTCAAATTTCAAAAGTTCACGCTCTCTATTGAATGCTTAGCGCAAGGAATAAAATAGATTCGTCTGATTATAATATTTTATATAGCTCAAGGCCGTATATATATATACTGTATGCTGTATAGCTCCAGGCTCATATACCCTCTGGTAAGGCCTCATATCATGATATAGGTACCCTCTGGTTGAGATGCGGTAAAATTGAAATTTGCAACAATCGTTTTTGTCACCTTACCTTACCTTACCTTACCTTCGTGGTGATCGGGATTGAAAAGGCCACTTGGCCTGGGGATCCCGCTCTCATCGAGCTCGTGTCGGGATACAGGCTAGGCTCTCAGGGATAGGGGGTGTCGTACATGATGCCACCGCCTTGATGCCACCCCAGTGCTTGTCCAGCTGGGCCTTGAACTGGTTGACGGACTGTGCCGTGACCACCGCGCTTGGTAGGGAGTTCCAGTCGTTGATGACCCTGAAGCTGAACGCGTTTCTGCGCACGAGTTTGGTGGCCAGTGTTCTAAAATTTGATTTTGGTTGGGTGTGCCGATGAAGAAACAAAAATCCTAGGATGAGAAAAAGGGAAGTAAATAACTGGAGTATTTTTGCAAAATGGTGTAATGCCAATTTTTATGCCAACTGATAAACCAGGATTTCATGTCAGGATCTTGACATGGTGTGAAACAAAAGGATGAGGGTGCAGCAACTGTCGAGTGACATGTAAACTGGCTGTTGGGAATAAACGAAACATTTTTCAGAGATGAAGCAAAGTCGGTCATTCATATTTTAGGGATGAAAGTATTTTCCCAATTAGGTGTGATTTGCCACCAAAAAGTCTGAAAAATGGAACACTGTTGGTGGCCCTCGGTTTCTCGAGCTTCCACTCGTGGCCCCTGGTTCGAGCTGAGTTGCTCCGGGTCAAGAAGCTTTCTGGCGATATGGCCAACCCTCCGTGCAGCAGCTGATATACGGTCACCATGTCGCCTCTGCGCCTCCGGTAGTAGAGTGATGGTAGTCCCAGTCGACGGAGTCGTTCGGGGTACGGGAGGTGCTTGAGTTGTGCGACCATTCTTGTTGCACGACGTTGCACGCGTTCAAGCCTCTTCTGGTCCTCTTTCCCAAAAGGTCACAGTGGTTTTTGTTTCAGCCGGACACAGTTTGTGAGCTGTGTTTGTCGCTTTTTCGTATTGGTATTGCAGAATCAGAACGGTTTGGCACGTTCAGGCTGTTCCTGATTTGTTTGCACCTGCATGGTTGTCAGCTTTGCATTAATTTGTACCTTGCGTTGCCAAAGCAATTTCAAATTCCATTTAACCCGCGCCCTGCTGGGGGGGGGTGTTTGAACACCCCCCCCCCCCTGTGGTTTTTCGCGGATATCTCAAAAACGGCGGCGCTCCGCGCCGCCGTTTTTGGTACACCTTATCATACATCAATTCTACACATGTTGTGAAAATTTCAGACCAAGGTCATTCAAGGTCAGGTCACCAGGTCACTTGAAGTGACCTCACCTCATAAAAAGTTTCAATGTCTGCCATAGCTACACCGAGTGACCGATCGCTTTGAAACTTTCAGCGATTACTAAGAGCAATAGCATGTACAAAATGTATATCTCAGAATTTTGATATCGATGACCTAAGGTCAGGTCAATTTTGCGACCTCCCCATTATAAGTCAATGGGAGAAAATTGAAATGCGCCTCTTTTGGACGAAAAGCATTATAAACACTCCCAAACACTGAATTACAAGTGGTTTAGACACACTGAACATGAAAATGGTGTCCGTGACCCCTGGCTATGCCCCTGAGGTCATCTTAGGTCACGAATGGTATCTAACAGTTTTTCGCAAATAACTTTTGATAGAGGCATGCTAGAGCGATGAAAACACCTTAGATGTGTTCAGCTCGACGATACGGATCGACTGATATGCAACATGACCCTTTCCGGTCAGGTCATGACCTTGAACTGAGGTCAAATTTTCAAGTTGACCTTTCAAGGTCAACTTATAGTTCATTCGATGCGTCTTGACGAGAGGAACACGATGCCGGTAAAAGTAAGCTCGTACAAGGTTTGGGTCAAAAGTTATTGCAGAAAAACTGTTTCCGAAAAAAATCGGCTATTTTTGCAGTTTTGACCCCCTGCAGGCAAAACCGTTGACGCTAGGTCAAATCTGAGAGAATTACTCAGAAAGAGCGCTAATAGGGCTATCGAATGCGCTTTTCCGCAGCGCTGTAGCTCTATTGGTTCCCGAGTTATGCGTTGGCTTCTTGTAAATTGTCGACATTCGACCTGGAAATCGGCGAAATTTTGCCTTCAATGACCTCTGGTGACCTGACCTTTGACCTGACCAAAAAATTGACCGAAGTGATTTCGTCATTATTTTTTATGCTCTTTCGAACGCCGCCTTCCGCGTATCGCTACGTGGCCCAGGAGCCGAGTTAGAAGGGGGGGTGTTTGAACACCCCCCCCCCCCCCCCCAGCAGGGCGTGGAAATCCAGGACCCCCAGCAGGGCGCGGGTTAATCAAGATTCAATAAATCAAGACATAACATTTTTGTCTTATAAACTGAAGTTCGTCATAAAATATGAATAGTCTAACAGATGACTCTCAGAGTCTTGGTTACAAGGAAATATCAATATTGGGTAAATGTGCAGAAATCTTTACTCTTACCAGAAATGGCAAGCTTGATGCAAGCCTACTAGAGTCAAGTCAAAATGCATTTGTCTTGCTTGTATCAATTCCCTGCACCACATTGCATGCCATTACAACTGATCACATCAACTGCAATGTCATGCCTTGCACTGAGGTGCCATTGCAGTTGTTGCGAGGAGGATTTAACATACCATTGGATTGGAATTGGTGGCCCAATGGGGGCAAGATTTTGCATATTGAAAGCTCTAATCTGCCATATAAAAGACTGCCTTCACACTGGCTTATGGACCTTGGCTTGCTTGCAGTAGATTTTGCCTGGTTATCTCTATCCTGGTAAGATCTCATTGCAAGGTGCTTATATGCTCTTCCTGGATGTTTACCTCTGGTTTGCTGGGGGACATAATTTATACTATCCAAAAGGTGCTTGGAGCGCTGAGCATGTAGAGTAAAAAGCTCAATGTTTTTAAGCAGGTGGATACCTGTAGCTTGCACATGTCCCAGTATGTCTATCTTACCTGATATTCATAGTTATAGATATTACATGGTTATCATCTTTATGAGACATTGAGTTCATGTATGCCCCTTATGTTTCACATTGCAGAGCTGCAGTCCATGGCTCCTCCTGCAGCTGATGGTAATGTGATCCGTCGCTCCATCTACCAGAACTCCAACACGATGGTGGAAGTGCTGACAAAGTCCAAGGATCCGCGCTCCCGCACCGCCACGGCCGGCAGCACCGCCGCCTCGGAGCCGGCCTGGCCAGCGGCCGTGCCCGTCCGCCGCGACGGACGGCCCCTGTCGGCGACGGGCCCGTCAGCTGCCGCCGCGACCCCGCACCGGCCGACCTCTGCCCGCCTGGCAGTCGGCCGGCGGTGACCCGACCGGTGGACGACCCTCGGCCGGCCGCGGCGGCGGGCAGCGGCCGGCGCCGGGCCGTCCCCCCGCGGCCCGCGGTCAGCCGCCGGCTCAGAGACAGGGACAGACCACCGCGGGGCCTGGACGACCGACCGCGCCCAAACAGACCGGCTGTACCACCGGAGAACGAGCAGGCCGAGCACGCCGACTCTTGGAAGGAGTTTACCGTGTGGACCAACCAGCTGAAACAGCTGGTGCGAGACATCGGAAAACGGCCTGGTAGGTCAGCTTCTGCTTGGCATTTTAAAGTTTTGAGTATGCCTGACAGGATATTCCACGTATGTTCTCTCTTACTAGAATTAAATAAATCATGACCCGCTGTTTGAGTTGCCGCACACCCCAGGAACCCGTTTTCCCACATCTGACCTGTCGCCGTCTCCTGTTCCAGCCACGGCCCACCTGCGTCCGCTGCTGAGCCGGCTGGAAGAGACGGTGCGTGTGCCTCCGGTACCGCCCGGCACGCTCTGGGCAACCGAGGACGACGAGCACGGCCCGCTGAGGGATCGCCTGGAGGAGATTCAGCTGGAGAACGAGGACCTGCAGAGGTACGGAGGTGGTTTGGGGAGGGTAAAGGGCTGTGGTAGATTCAGTCGGGAAATGGGGACCTGTAGTGTGTGGACTGTGGAGACTGGGTTGGGACAGTTTCAAGAGTTTACGAGGACATGCAGAGGTACGGGGCTGGTATGGGGACGCGCCAAGGGATGAAAAAGATTCAGTGCAGAATGAGGACCTGCAGTGGTATGGGATGGGGGTGGTGTGGGAACAGACCGAGGGATCGAGGGCGCTATTTTCGGTATGGGAGCGATATAGTGAGCACATGGAGACCCAATGCAATTACAGAAATACAGACAATGATACTTACCATTAGTTATCAAGGGGACGTGTCACTTCATGTGCGGGTATCTGTGCTAACACACATTACACATCTGCAGAATATTCCATATATTCACCCTCGCGACTGCTCTCCATCTCCTGACCTACAGGAAGTTCCAGAGCCTGAGCGCCGCGATGCGGGACTACCAGCAGCAGCGACAGACGATTGACGGCGCCGGGGGTGACGACCGCCTCCGACGGACCACCGAGACAGACACCGAGCTGGCAGAGCTTAAACGACAGCTGGCCAAGTACAAAAAGTACGCCAAGGAGCTCAAAAAGACCAAGGAGAACCTGCTCAATACGATACAGGTGAGCTGCGTGGGGACGGGTTGCGGGAAACCAATTTTTGATAACGTGTTTTGGTTATGATTTTATGCATTGACTTTGTCTTCAAATGGGAATCCCGTCGGCGATCTTGTTATATAAGTAAGTAAATAAATAGGTAGTGCCGATCGTTGTCTTTTTATCTCTTTGAGTGTTATAAGCTCTCAGTGAAGCGTTGTAGGGATCATCTACGCGATTTGTCATCTATGCGATTTGTCATTTCATGTTGTCATTTTCATTAATTGTCGCCGCTTTATTAATCAATCTGTTACCTGTTGTCAATTGCGCGTCAAGTTTGTTTGTTATTTGTAAACCGGCCTGCCGCTGGCCTCAACCTTCCTAGTAACCGCTGTGCCATACGCTTTAGAACATATCGTGCAAAGGTCACGGCGGCACCCCTGAGGCGGCCGCTGCCCGTACGTTTACGAGCCCATTGTCGTGACGTCACGCCTGTGAACAAAGGTCACGGTAGGGGCTCTCCCGGCAGCCGGACGGTGACTCATACGTTGAGCTTGTCTCTCGCCGCGCCTGCGGGCATATTGGTAGTACTAGGGACGGCCAGCATATGACCGCGGCTTTCGGCGACATTGTCAATTCGTTTTTTGACTCTGCTGTTCGCTACAAGACAATACACATAGAAAACGGCTCGGGCATTTGGAGAAGAGCGGCTACTCTGAGGCGAGGGAAGAACACGGAGATTCACACAAACGACCTGACTAGGTTGCACCGGCCACAGTCGACCGAGGTGGGCTTCCGCGCCCTTAAAGACGCCTCTGACTGGCCATTGCGCTGACACCCTGGTCGGACCACGGTCATTGATCGGACCCTGCCACTGGTTCGTGCTCAGGCTGCCTTAGCGGGTAGACCTGCTCGACCAGACGCCCCACTGGTGGGCGAGTGCTCGGTTCCGACTTTCACCGCCGGTCCAACAGCGTTCTGCTGGTTCCCGCCGATCCGGTTACGACACCGCAAGTGCCGTACCGACTCGGGCGTCCCAGGTGGGCGTAACGGTTACCACACCAGTTCGCGACCCCCAGGCTCTGTCAGCCGTCGTACGGCTCTCGGACGGACACTCTAATAGATCAGCCACAGATCAATAGGTTGTCACAGGCCGTCCGTCCAGCCAAGCGCTACCCACAGCGCAGTACGACAATTGGTGACCCCGACGTGATCTCCGTTGTTCGACCTTAGCCTCTCGTCATGCCGGCGGACAGCGCACAGTCCGGCGCCGCAGCTCAAGACCCAGCCAGCGTTCCAGCTTCAGCCTCCGAGTCAACTCATCGGCCCATGGCTAGCTTCCGGCTACCACCATACTCTCCGGAAGAGCCCGACCTGTGGCTACTGCAGGTGCAGTGCGCTTTCGACGTCAGCGGGGTCGACTCCGACGAGCTGAGGTTTAAGCTCCTCGTCGCAAACCTCCCCGCCAACATCGCCGTCCAGGTCAAGGACGTCATCCGGTCATCTCGGTCTTTTGACGTGCTGTGTGCAGCGCTCCAAGCCCGCCTGGCACAGTCACGCGCCGACCGACTACAAGCCCTGCTCGGCCGCCAACAGCTCGGCGATCAGAAGCCGACGGCGCTGTTGCGCTCAATGCGCAACGAGCTTGCCGCAGCCGGGGACGCCCCGGTTGATACGGAGCTCTTCCGTACCCTATTTCAACAACGGCTACGCACCGCAGCCCGTCCGTGCTGCCCTCGCCCTCCTGCCAGCCGACAGCACGCTTGACGCACTGGCAGAAGCGGCCGACCGGTACCTGGAAGCTAGCGGACCCGACCCACGGCTATCAGCGATCGCGGCACAGCCGTACACACAGCCGGCACCGCCCATCGCTGCTGCAGTGACAGCCCCAGCGCCAGCTGCAACCCCTGCGCTGGACACCGTCATCGCCTCCCTGGTCGCTAAGATGGAGCGCCTGGAGGCCAGCAACCGACGACTCGAGGACGCCGTGCGACGCGACCGCAGCCGTTCCCGGCCGCGCCAAGCGTCTCGCCAGTCACGCCGCCCGTCACCGGCTCGTCCTTCAACGCCGCCGCACGACGACACGCTGTGTTGGTACCACCAGCGATTCGGCGCCCAAGCGCGCCGATGCAAGTTGCCGTGCTCCTGGATCGCCTCGGAAAACTGAGGCGCCCCGTGCTGATGGCGCAAAGCACGGGCGCCCCTCCTGCCGCGCCACTCCTCTTCGTGAGGGACACGGAGACGGACCGGCAATTTCTAGTCGACACCGGGGCGCAGGTCAGCGTGCTGCCTCGCCGCTGCCTGCCCAACGGGTCTACGCTGACCCCTGCTCCTGTCGGCCAGCAGCTCGTCGCGGCAAACGGCTCACCGATCGCGGTGCACGGCACCTGCCTGCTGGACGTCACCTTGAGTCAGCAGCACCGCCTGAAACATCGATTCTTCGTCACTGACGTCACCACACCCATCTTGGGCACCGACTTCCTGGCCGCACATCACCTCGTCGTGGACGTTGCCAACCAGCGTCTCCTGCGGGACGGCACCGTCTGCGCCAGCGCCGAGCGGTCAAGGCTGTGCTCCATCGGAGTGCGTCTCGTCCGGGAGCAGGCTGCTGCTCGCTTCGCAGTTGTCCTCGCCCGGTACCCGGATGTGACCTCACCAAAACCTGGACCAACACCGGTGAAGCACAACGTGACGCACCACATCGTCACCAAGGGTCCACCGGTGTACCAGCGGCCACGACGCCTCCCGCCGGAGCGCCTTCAAATCGCACGTGCTGAGTTCAACAAGATGCTCCAGCAAGGCATCATTCGACCGTCGAGCAGCAGCTGGACAACTCCACTCCACATGGTGCCAAAGAAGAGACCCGGCGAGTGGCGCCCTTGCGGCGACTACAGAGCGCTGAACGCCCGCACCGTACCAGACCGCTACCCGCTGCCGTACCTGCGGGACTTTTCAGCCGACCTGCATGGGTGCACCGTCTTCAGCACCATTGATTTGGTGAAGGCCTACCACCAGATCCCGGTGGAACCTGCCGACGTCCCCAAGACAGCCATCACGACACCGTTCGGCCTCTACGAATGCGTTCGGATGCCGTTCGGCCTCAGAAACGCCGGACAGACCTTCCAGCGTTTCATGGATGAGGTCCTCCGCGGCATACCGGGCTGCTTCGTCTACCTGGACGACATTCTGCTGGCCAGCCCGACTGCCGAACACCACCTGCAGCTCCTGGACCAAGTGCTTCAGCGCCTCAACACCTACGGCGTCGTCGTCAACAGGCACAAGTGCGTCCTGGGACAGGAGCAGGTGGTGTTCCTCGGCCACTCGGTAGACGCCGACGGCGTCCGCCCGCTGCCTGGACGAGTCGAGGCCATCAAAGACTTCCCGGAACCGACCACTCAGTCCCAGCTACGGAGGTTCCTGGGGATGGTAGCCTACTACCACCGCTTCATCCCCCAGGCAGCCGAGCTCCTGCAGCCTCTGCACGCCTTAATCACCCACAAGGCAAAACGCTCCAGAGCGCCTGTCACGTGGACAGACTCGGCGCGGCAGCGTTTCAAGAACGTCAAGGACGCCCTGGCCGCGGCGACGCACCTCGCGCACCAGGTCCCGGACGCGCCGCTCGCCATCTTCGTCGACGCCTCGGACTGCGGAGTGGGCGCCGTCCTCCAGCAGCACGTCGCCGGCGAGTGGCAGCCCCTCGCTTTCTTCTCCAAAACGCTCCAACCTGCGGAGAAGAAATACAGCACGTTCGGGCGCGAGCTGCTCGCTATCTACCTGGCCGTCCGGCACTTCAAACACGCCATCGAAGGACGGTCAGCAATCATTTTCACAGACCACCGACCACTGGTAACGGCCATCGGCTCCTCGTCCGACCGCTACTCGCCGCGAGAGGTCCGCCACCTGGACTACATCGGCCAGTTCGTGTCTGACATCCGCCATGTGCCTGGCAAGGACAACGTGGTCGCTGACACGCTGTCACGCACGGTCTCGATGGTGGCCCAGCCGCGACCCCCGCTCGCCGACTTCACTGCCATCGCCAAGGCCCAGTCCGAAGACGGCTCGCTGGAAGACCTCGAGGCCTCAGACACCTCACTGCGCCTGCGCCACATTCCGGTCGGCGAAGGACTCCGTCTGCTCTGCGACGAGTCCACTGGATCGCCTCGGCCGGTCCTCCCAGAGGCGCTGCGCCGGCCCTTCGCCAAGGCTCTGCACGACCTGTCGCACCCTGGCGTCGAGGCCACCGTCAAGCTCGTCTCTAAGCGGTTCGTCTGGCCCGGTATGGATCGCGACGTGCGCCGCTGGACCCGAACCTGCCTCGCCTGTCAGCGCTGCAAAATCGGCCGGCACACCAAGTCTGACGTCGGCACCTTCCAGCCACCTCCGCAACGCTTCGACCACGTCCACGTGGACCTCGTCGGCCCGATGCCTCCGTCAAGAGGGCACTCGTACCTCCTGACGTGCGTCGACCGGTTCACTCGGTGGCCAGAAGTCATCCCTCTGCCGGACATCCGCACCACCACGGTCGCCCGCGCCTTCCTCGAGCACTGGGTCGCCCGATTCGGCGTTCCGTCCATCATCACGACGGATCGAGGCGCCCAGTTCGAGTCGGCCCTCTGGTCGGAGCTACAGCGATTCCTGGGCTGCCAGCGAACTCGGACGACGTCCTACCACCCGGCCTGCAACGGTATGGTGGAACGCCTGCATCGCCAGCTGAAGGCCAGCCTCCGTGCACACCAGGCTACGTCATGGACGGACGTGCTGCCGCTGGTGCTCCTGGGCATACGCTCCACCATCAAGGCGGACCTGCAGGCGACGTCAGCCGAGCTGGTGTACGGCTCCTCACTGCGGCTTCCTGGTGAGTTCTTCATCAGCAGCCAAGCCTCAGCAGCATCACCGGCCGGTTTCGTACAAGATCTGAAGCGCGCCATGTCTCAGGTGCGGCCGACACTCCCACGTCCGGTCCAGCGCGCCACGTACGTCCCGACGGCACTCCAGACGGCGACACACGTCTTCGTGCGCAGGGACTGTCACCGCTACCCGCTGGACGCTCCATACGACGGACCGTTCCCGGTTACCGAAAGGACCACCAAAACCATCACCATCGACCGTCGACAGAAAAAGGAAGTCATCAGCATCGACCGGTGTAAGGCCGCCTTCCTGGAGACGCCAGACGAATCCGGTCATCGACAGTCTGACCTGCCGACTGTGCAGCCGCACGGTACTCAGTCCAGCGGCCCGCCGGCCGCGCCACCGCTCAGCAATGAGCCCAGCGGCCCGGAGCTTCTGATCTACGGTGACGCACCAAATCGCCATGCAGCCGTCGCTCGGGCTGACGCTGCACCATTGCAGCCTCAGCCGATACTACGGACGACCCGCTCCGGCCGCGTCATACGACCTCCGGTAAGATATCGCCATGTCACTTTTGTCCGCGACATGTCTGGCGAGGGGTACTGTAGGGATCATCTACGCGATTTGTCATCTATGCGATTTGTCATTTCATGTTTCATTTTCATTAATTGTCGCCGCTTTATTAATCAATCTGTTACCTGTTGTCAATTGCGCGTCAAGTTTGTTTGTTATTTGTAAACCGGCCTGCCGCTGGCCTCAACCTTCCTAGTAACCGCTGTGCCATACGCTTTAGAACATATCGTGCAAAGGTCACGGCGGCACCCCTGAGGCGGCCGCTGCCCGTACGTTTACGAGCCCATTGTCGTGACGTCACGCCTGTGAACAAAGGTCACGGTAGGGGCTCTCCCGGCAGCCGGACGGTGACTCATACGTTGAGCTTGTCTCTCGCCGCGCCTGCGGGCATATTGGTAGTACTAGGGACGGCCAGCATATGACCGCGGCTTTCGGCGACATTGTCAATTCGTTTTTTGACTCTGCTGTTTCGCTACAAGACAATACACATAGAAAACGGCTCGGGCATTTGGAGAAGAGCGGCTACTCTGAGGCGAGGGAAGAACACGGAGATTCACACAAACGACCTGACTAGGTTGCACCGGCCACAGTCGACCGAGGTGGGCTTCCGCGCCCTTAAAGACGCCTCTGACTGGCCATTGCGCTGACACCCTGGTCGGACCACGGTCATTGATCGGACCCTGCCACTGGTTCGTGCTCAGGCTGCCTTAGCGGGTAGACCTGCTCGACCACGCCCCACTGGTGGGCGAGTGCTCGGTTCCGACTTTCACCGCCGGTCCAACAGCGTTCTGCTGGTTCCCGCCGATCCGGTTACGACACCGCAAGTGCCGTACCGACTCGGGCGTCCCAGGTGGGCGTAACGGTTACCACACCAGTTCGCGACCCCCAGGCTCTGTCAGCCGTCGTACGGCTCTCGGACGGACACTCTAATAGATCAGCCACAGATCAATAGGTTGTCACAGGCCGTCCGTCCAGCCAAGCGCTACCCACAGCGCAGTACGACAGCGTCGTCATTTTCGTGGCATCGTGAATCTTACTACTCTCCCAGTGCTGTCATCTGTGGGGGTGCGCGGAGCTTCGGGAAGGTGGCAGCACTAGGCAACGATGTGGTAGTTTATCAGTTCAGTGTTTGTTTTGGGGGTAAATGGAAATTTGGTAGTGTATTTGCTTACTTGGAGTTGTTCTCAATTAGTTGGTGCTTGCTTAGATAAATATCAAAATTTGTATAGGTTTTGTGAAGACTGAAGAGAATGCACAAAAGCCTGCATGAATATCATACCATCCCCCTTTTCTTGCCAGGCGATGGGCGATGGCGTCAACTTGTAAATCCATTATTGTTATCGCTCACAGTAACGTAACATTGACAATCTTTTGACTTGATAGCTCGCACAACATTTCGACGTCTTAGCGTCGGTCGCATGTCCAGCGCGTCAGTAGCCGTGGCTGACCACATGCCTCTTCCCACTCTCTGCCCGCAGACTCAGGAAGAGAAACACGCCGCCGAGCTGAAGAGTCTGAAGGAGGAGCACGAGACTCAGATGAGCCAGGTGCTGGCCCAGTTCACCAGCGAAACGGAGATGCTCGTCTCGTTCAGAGCGGTACGTGCGGGGAGCGAGGAGGGTAGTGGTCTTTAGGACTCTGTCATCTGTCATTGTGTGGTTTGGGCTGTAGCTAATTGATATTGTCATTATAATGCGGTTGCTAGCTAATATCCAGGCGAGTGGTTGTATCGGGCTGAACTTGGTGTTCGCTACAGCATATACCACATTTTATATTTGCTTGCGACAGCCAGCGCCCGTTTCCCGCAGCCCGCGTGGCCTAATGGATAAGGCGTCGGTCTCCTAAACCGAAGATTGGGGGTTCGAGTCCCCCCGTGGGTACGCTTGTTTTCGGTGAACGGAACCCATCCGGTGTCTTTTCAAAGGTCGTGGGTATGACGGCTAACCTGAGAAAGTCGCTCGTACTGCTAGACTGGCAATTACCTCAACTGTACCGCCGAAGGCACTCCCTGGGGCTTATTGCGGTGGAACTGTTGCTAAAAGCTGTGGTTACGTGCAACACATTGTTATTACGCCGGTGGACTAGAGAATATAGACCCTACACTAAACCACACTCCTATCTGTTGACCTGACCTTGTGACCTGACCTGTTGGTCTTTTTGTAAACAGGACGTGGAGGCCGTTCAGCGCAGTTTGGCGCAGCGGGTGCGGGAGAACTCTGAGCTGCAGAAGGCGCTGGCGGAACGAGACACCGAGCTGGAGCGGCTGGCCGCGCAAAACCAGTGAGTGAGACATTGGGTGATTGGGTGGGGTGGTTTTTGTCGTCATTAATCTTGTATGCGTCAGTTTTTTCGCTAGCGCAATGTGACTGAGGCTCTCAATTCTGATAGTTTGCGTTAAAGAAAACGAATGAATGTATGGTTTATCCAAGCAGCTGGAGCCTGCCGCCAACGGACGCATTATCGTACTAATGACGGTCTCCATCCCCCTGTTTCTACAGGACGCTGCACGAGCTGGCGCTGAAGCTGCTGCAGGTGCCCGGCTCCGACCCGCCCTCCGTCACCCAGCTGCTCACCAAGCTGCAGTCCCCGGACACCGGCGGCGTCTCCGTAATACCCGGAGGTGCCGGGGACTCGGCCCCGCCCGCCCGAGACGCCAGCCTCTTCAGTCTGGACGTGACGGAGCCGCTGCCGGCGCGCCCGTTCCCCCGTGAGTGGGCCGATCTCTCGCTGGGGTCTCTGGTTGGCTCGGCGGGGACAGGCGAGCAGCGCCTGCCGGCAGACGGGGACCGAGGTGCGCCGGCGCGGCGGCCGCCGAGCGGGGCTGCTGGCGAGCCGCCGCGGCCGGCCTCGGGTGCCGCTGCGGGATCGGCCCCCAGTGGTGAGCGTAGGGAAGGACAAGAGGTCGGTGGCGGTGACGCCCCGCCCCAGCGCCAGTCTAGAGGCCGACACGGGTGGACCAACGGCTGGTGGTGACGCCCCACGTCACCGTCAGTCCAAGAGGGCAGCGGGGTCAGCCAGGGTAGACCGGCGGGTGGTGACACTCCACCGCAGCACCAGCCCAGGGAGGCTGGTGCCGGTGACACCAACCAGCGGCTGTTCGGTGGTCCGGTCACCAGCACTAATCGAGACGGCCCGGCGCAGGACCGCAGTGGTCGAGGCGATCAGCTGCCTGACGGCGACGGAGGCCCCGCCGCGGTCGACCAGTGTGTCGTGGGTCCCACCGGTGGGGGCGACTGCGGTCGACTGCCGCCCGTCGGCTCGCTAACCTCCGAGGAGACGTTCCAGCGCAGTCTCGCTCGGCTCGCTGAGAGGATGACCGATCTACACCAGGGTATCAGTCTTGCCGCCCAGGTGTTGAGTCCCTGAGTCGGTCGGCAGGGCTGCTGAGATCAGAGGAGCTTCAGCCGAGCCGCCTAGATCGGGTGAGTTGGTCAGCTGAGCTAACAGGACTCAGTCTCGCCCTTAGCTTACCGCTGGCATTATGCGCTAAGACGTCACGGTCAACTAGAGACTTGAAGCCGACTGCTCATATCTTCAAGCTTAACCAAACGCTAGCTCTTGCCGCTAGACCTTCCACGATTCATGCTGTGAAATGTAGAAAACGTCTACACTGAAGACGAAAATAGCTAGAACCGCGAGCTTGCACAAAGAGGGACGTTTTATATCCATTCCATCAACTGCAGATCTGATATTTACAAATGCCGGCTGATCACTGTGCCTTGGAACCAGGGTCCTCCTCCAGGGCTTAAGGTATTCCTTCGGGCTCGTCATTCATGAATGCGTGTTTGTGCCAAGAGTGGGAGTAGATGATAAGTTGTTGCGCGCCATGGCTCCGGAAGGGTCCGTTCTGGACTTGTTACTTGTGCGAGAGACTGGCAAAGGCTCAAGTGTGCCTTTGCTCGCAATGAAATAGACGATTTCCGTCGCCACGTGCCTTGCCATTTAATCGTTGTTTTAATTACACCATTCCATGTTAATATATCGACCATATCAAGGCGGAATATTCCGGAGAGAAAGGGAGAGAGCGAGGGAGCGAGGGAGAGAGAGAGAGAGAGAGAGAAGAGAGAGAGAGAGAGAGAGAGAGAGAGGAGAGAGAGAGAGAGAGAGAGAGAGGCGTGCTATCGTGTTCCGTGACTCTTTGCTTGGTCGCGTTTTCGAGAGAGCACAAAAAGTGCGTGCACCGCGCACGCACGAGATGTGGCGTGTGACGGAAAGAAGGGCGGCGCGTCGCCACCAGGAAGTCACGCCCCATGACCCAGTGCACTTTTGTGCCCGTAAGGAGTGTTAGAGAAAAAGATCATGTGACCCAGTATACTGCCTTGCTAGACATACATATGAGTTGTCGAAAAGTTACAGCTGATTGTGTTTGTGCATCCTTCCAGCATCAGCCGGCAGTGGATATTGCATATCTTGATCCAGACCATGTGATGTTAACGAGGAAGGGCCCTGTCGATCAACAGACACCATCTGCTACACAGACGGAGCCGCTTATCAGCCCGTCCCAAACGACAGGCAATCGACGAGCGACGCTAACGGTAGGTACTTACATCCAACCAGCTGCGCACTAAGAAACCGAACAGGATTAATAAGCATTCAACATATGTTTTAGGTTCCGTCGTGTAGGAAGGAAAATCAGTTTGCGCTTTACATCTACGTAAGCAGGACAGAACTAGTTGTTTGATATTGTCGCTAGATGTCACTAACGTAAAACGCCTGCATCTATGCTGTACCGCCGAACTTCTTACAATAACACGCAGCCTAAGCACGGCTTTGGCTAAGGTTGTCTTTTCGAACTGAGAGTGTTAGCTTGTGGAACACAGCCCAGCCAACATTAACCCGCGCCCCGTAGGGCTACCGGCGGACCCTACCACCCGTGGGGGGGGGGGCGTTTCGGCCCCCCTAAGATCTCGGAAATTTACCAACCGATTTTAAAAATTCAAGCGGCGTTCGATAGCCCCACCGGGGAACTTAACTTGTGACCAAATTTCATTGACTTAGGTCAAACTGATGACGTCACAGGTCAGGTCAAAGGTCGGATTTTCACCGTTCACAGGCATTTCAAGAAATGTGTTGTGAAATCGAGTAAATTGGTAAGTTATTGAAAACCATCGATGGTACATTATTCGTCAAACACATACTTCGCTATCTGAGGTCACTGATACCAGGTCAGGTCACAGAGGTCAGGTCACTGGGGGGTCACAATATGAAATTGTCGTGTGATGCATGTTTTATGGTCCATTTTACATGACAAATGCGATTATGTGGGTCAGGCAGCCTTTGGGGGAAAGCTTAGGTCACGTTTTGGTGGAGGTCAGGTCAAGGTCAGGTCAAATTAGGTCAAATTTCAAAGCTGATATTTTTGCATAAAATGCCCGAATGGGTATCGATTCGATGCAGCTCGTCACGGGGAGTCCAATGGTGGTCCAATGGTGAAAATTTGACGTCATCATTTTGAACAGTTTTTTTCGCTATAACTTGGCCAAAAAACGAGATAACGATCTGAAATTTGGTACCTATGTACTATGTAGATAGAAGACGGTAGGTACTATCACATGTATTCCGGTTTTTTCGAAACTCAAAAAGCTTTTTGGATTTTTTTGGTAGTATATTCAAAAGATTGTTTTTATTTTTGGGGTCAAAACTCAAAAATTTCAAAAATTCGAGATAGCAGTTTTGTAGCCCTGTCAATTCTACACCTTTCATGTCTAATCATTTTTCTGTATCTTCAAAGCTGTAGGCCTGACAGCTCTTCTCGCAAAGGTCTTTTTTCGGTCGAAAATGGCAGAACATGACGTCATTCTGACGTCATTTGTGGCCAACCTACCATAGCCTCTGGAAAAATGTTTGGTCACAATGTGTGAAATTGATGCCCGGAAGGGGCCTGAAAGTTTGGTGGCGATATCTTCAGCCGTTTAGGAGATATCGACGGAAAAGGACAGGGGGGCTGTTTCAGTGTTTCGGCCCCCTACGGGGCGCGGGTTAAACCGTCTTACTTCGCTACCTTATTTAATTGTTGGTCTTTCACCACCGTTTCACGATGCGTGTTATGATCACTCGTCTCGAACCTTGGTGCTCCATAGATCGGTTTGTTCCATTACATCATGCACGACGGGCGACGGTTAGTGATGCGGTTGGGACGGTTGTCGGGAGTCCCGATTTCAGAGCGCATTGTGAACTCTCACTTCCGCACGGTCATGACATGCAGTCCCCGCTCTGGCCTTCGGAGGTCACGGTTGCATTGCCGAACCAGCGGCTCACAAACTATTCAAACATCACGAATAACAAACATGCAATTTTATGTTGCTTTTAGAATCGGATACTCTTTGGTACATTTAATGAAACACCCGGTAGAAGAATGCTAATAACGTCCGTCAAACGTGCGAGTTTTGTTGTAGCCACCTTAAGCTAGCAAGGTGTAGGTTAGGTACGCAATTAACAATTACCTTACATCGTCACTTCAGTCCAATCGCAGTCCAATCGGTTACTTCCAGGTAAAACCGATCGCCTATTACCCGGAGCCCTAACCAGGTGAAGGAGCAGCATTGTTGGGTGATGGCCTCAGCCTGGTTAGGTACTCTGTCGCACCCCGGTGGCATCATCCGAGCGTCAATGGCCCGCGATTAGAGCGGGATGACTAGCAAACTTTATCCGCCACTCTCTGGACGCAGTCGAAGGTAGGAAGTTTGGGCATAGGTCGGCAGAGCTGAACCGTCACGCGGTGACGAGGCAGCAACGTTACACAGTGCTTGGGTCACGTCACGCGCGGATTTTAGACAGGTCACACAGCGTCACGAGCCTATGTCTGGCCCAAATGGGGGAAAATACAATCAGTAGTGTTTCTTAAACGTTCCGATATAGTAGGGATGATTCGTGCCTTTCAATTTAGACATAGAGGTAGTTCGATCCAAGCCAAGTAGTTGTGTAAAAAAACTTATTGTTTCATTTTGTTAACCATTCCCAATAGACGCCATGTCAATATGAACATGTATTTTGTGCGCATAAAAAGCAGAACTTTCATTGCCGCATTCAAATAAACATTTTGCACCTTCCTTTTTAATCTAACGATTACGAGGCCAACGCGGACTCCTAGTGCTACGCCCTGATAGTGCCACTGTTAACGAGGTTTCACCCCGTTTTTATCCCATGTCGCCCGCTGGCATACCGTCATCACATCCCTTCCCAGTCACTGCCGGCCGACCCCGTCACATTGCAGGCATACAGTACACGGCAAACCACTTGACAGGCGACTGTCCTAAATGAAACACCACGGAGAGATTGCGGCTGTCGACAAAACAATAGAAGTAAAGCAAAAAGAATAGCACTGGATCTTTTTACTTCTAAGGAGGATGCAATTAAAACGTTACGATAACGACGTTTCACATGCAGTAGGCAAAAAAGTGGTCCAAAATCTGGATTAAGTTTGCATTGTGCACTGTGCGTATATACCTAATAGCTGAACTGAAAGGTAACGGTTACCTAGTACGCCGTTTAAAACTTTTGACTTGTTTTAGCCGTAGGCGGTCGTTCTCAATGATGCCTACATTTGTCATATGCATTGCTAAATAAACGGTATTTCAGCTGCATTCATTCAGACCTCTCTAAAATTTCCACATTCCTCAATATGTTAACAATGCCATATATTTTTCAATTCAGCTTCCTAAAATACTAGAAAATGATATCTAAAAGATTACATAGAATGAAAAAATAGAATAGTTATACAAGTTCCAATTACTAAGCAAAGAATGAAACGTAAACGTTCAATTACGGAATTTCTTTGACATTTTCCCGTTTTTTGTTTAGTGAATTCATACTTATTACAAGAGAATTAGTTAGACATGAAAGTAGAAATAAATCAATTAACAAGGGCACAGCAACCAGACCAGTTAGTATGACAAACATTGATAAACAACGCCTTTCGAGTTGACCACCATGACAGTGGCGCAGCGCTTCGGCTGCGGTACGTGTCATCTAATGGCGACAAAAAAACTCATAACGATGTAACATGTCATAATCGCTCGGGCGCATTGTTTTGAAACGGTCTCACCCATTACCCTTTCTCACGATCCATTACTTTTCCGTAACCGTTTTCTGGAACTAGTCCTCTCTTGTCACCAGTAACGACCATCGCACCGTTTCACCATCCGATTGTCAACCCACACTGACGAGAAAAACGGAACCTGTTCCATAGCTATACGATAAAAGCGATGCCTATTGAGTGAGGTTAGGTAATAGGTATAGGTATGAAAGTTTCGATGAACTTCTTCCCATCCGGCCGACGCCGAGGTGCGGACCGTGCCGTGGCAAGTTTTGAACGGCGTAGATAGACAAACGCCGCTACAGCCGGCTTACATAGGGGAGAGTTGGGTAATTTGGCCGGTGGTGTAAATTGGCCGCCCCCACCTGTACGAAAGCTGATAAAAGTGAATGAAATAACTTAAGTCTTTATTCATTTGTCATCGGCAGAACTAACTGGAGAACAAATGTCAAAACTTTCCCCCTCTTAGTTTTATTCAAAATTAATAAAAGGTGAATTACGTTAGAAAATGGTAACTTTTACTTCCGTTTAAAAATTTGTATAACATGTAGTATTTGGGCTGTAAACGAATTAAAATATTATAGCGCCATTTTTGAGGGTGCTCAGTGCTTCCACGAACAATTTCATTTAGTTCTGTACAGCCATGACGACTTAATAGACAAAAACTAGGGTGACCCGCGTGCTCCGCGACGCGAAAAGGGGCATTTTCGATCGGCGGGTGTTCGGTTGTTCTTGTGTCGGTTGGGTTATCTATCCATTTCGGTCGATTGCTTTTTGACGGCTAAACGTTTTGGTTTGTGAAAAAATACCACCGCATCGAGGTGCCCGTGTCTGATAAGCATGCTTTCCACTTCAGAATCTGTCAAATGTGCTTTATAATTGAGGTGCGTAGTTTTAAGACAAATGAAAGGCGTAGATAGTTTTCGCTAAAAATCGTTTTGCAGAGGTTTAAAACATTTATATTTTTAAGAATACTGTTGCTTGTCATGCAAACGTGCTGATTGGTTCTTGGAGAGAATTGAATGCTCTTTCTAATGATAGCATTTTCAATTGTCAAGCGTATCAGGTTAAGCAGCAAATCCCGTGTATCTTTTTAGTGGCACATTATGGACAAATACCATTTTAATTCAGCGATTTTTTCCACATTGTTTTTGATCAATTAGCTGTCCACAATTTTTCCATGAGAGGCGGTACATTTCTCTTGGCAATTGACGTTGTTTCAACTCTCTCAGTCTGATGGTCACGGGAAAATAAAATAAAATCCAAAATCCGTTTAAAATGGCACTTTTTGAAATGAAATTGCCCTCACACTTGCACGTGGCGCGTGCCACCCCTGCACCGCACACTATTCGATTGCCCGTTCGATTCTCTACACGATGCTGTTTTCCCCGTGCCGATCGGGCGCACGGCTACCGAGATATTGCACGGGGAACGGACCCGTGTCGGGCAAATTTAGCCATTTTCGCCCGTTTTTGCCAGCCGATTTATACATGTTAAGTCTATGACGCGAATTTGCACTTTTTGGGCACGCGCCACGCGCTCGCTATCGATCCGATCGAGCCGAGACCGCTCAAAGGCACGTTGTCCATCCTTGTTCTATAACTTGCGCAAATTTCAGCGCGGTAGGTGCAACGGTGTGATCTGTAACCCGCGCTACGTAGCACCATGTCGCGACCTTCGTAATAGACAGAAACTACGCCCTCCTCAAATAGTAATATAGACAAGCGGCTGCGCCACTTGCTTTGCTGCGTGGTAGGAAAAAATTGCGGCACCAGCCAATTTGCTTTCGAATGGTGTTTGATTCATGTCGATGTGTCGTCTAGAAGCATAGATATGGACGGAAATGTGAAGAGAATTAAAAAAGAACTGTTCTGAGGGCGTTGTTGGTTGAACTTTAGGTGATACGGGGTCAAGACGGGTCAAAGTGGTCAGCCCCGGTCGCTTTGGGTCAGGCCAGGTCACATATAGGTCACCTCTCGTCCGCTGGGATCAGCCCGGGCCACTGTTCTACATACTTTTGCCTCCACCACTACCCCTACCACTACCCCTACCACTACCACTGCTCCTACCCCTACCCCTACCACTACATCTACCCCTACCCCTACCACTACTACTACCCATACTCCTACCCCTACCACTACCCCTACCCCTACCCCTACCACTACCCCTACCCCTACCACTACCCCTACCCATACTCCTACCCCTACCCTACCACTACCCCTACTACTACCCCTACTACTACCCCTACCCCTACTACTACTACTCCTACCACTACCCCTACCCCTACCACTACCCTACCCCTACCCCTTACCCTACCAACACCGCTGGGTCATGTCAGGTCACAGAATAATTGGATCCAATCAGTACTAAAATATCAGACTTAAAGTGTTCCCAGCCCTGCCCCTATTCGTGCCATTCTATTACGCTTAATCGTATTTGTCGGAAATGACGCTTTGTGGCATATGTGGCGCATTGTGGCAAACGTGGCGCATTTTCACCCGGTGATTGAGCATGCATCTTTGCACCAAATTGCAACTTTAACAGACCATATTTGACAAAACTGTGCGATTTGCGGCAAAAATGACGCCCTGTGACCAATGTGATGCCTTGCGGCAAACGCGGTGCATTTGTAAATTCCTATCACAAACTGTACCCATTTAGCGACAATCAACACATTTTTTCGCCACTTTTCATTCAAATTAAAACCTGCCCATCCGCCAATGCGAGGCACCCGTCGCCGATCGGCATGCATTTAGTCCACAAAGTTCTTCGACCCCGGCTCTCAATGAAGATCTACCACTGCACCGAAGCGCTCCCATGTTAAACCAATGGAGACTTTGACGTTTTTCCAGCGCGCGCCACGCGCAAACCGTGCACCCCACCGACTGCAGACCCAGCAAAGGCACACGCCCGAAGCGTCGTCTACGCGGTGCGCAAGTTTCAGCCACCTCCTCGCAACCGTTTGACCTCCACGCGCCGATAACTGACCCCATGTCACCGAAAATTTCACCAAAACTGCGAACTGCAATATATTGGGGAGACCAAGTGCGGACACACAAACAGACAGACAGACGGATTCTGTTCGAATCTTACTTAATAAATTTCAAGTTGTCTCTGCGTCTGTCAGCCTCATGTGTCTTCTTGCGCCGGAACGGCGCCGCGTAGCGACGTGAAATTTGGTGACCACAAACTTTGGGTGGGGCGGACCATCGTATCAAAAGATGGGCGCAATCGGACCACGGGTGCGGCGTCAGCGCGTGCATCTCTGCCCCAGGCTGGCCGAGGCCGGCGCCGAGCAGAGAGCACGTGCTTTAGGCTCAGTTGTTCGCTTAAATAACTGAGTGAAAACGATGAGAGCCAGCTCGGGAGATCATTAAACTTTGAACTCTGTGGATATTAAGAATACAGGTTTGCGATAAGAATCAGGTATAGGCGCAGGTACAGGTATTCGGTACAGGTTTTACCGCTAAATAAAATAAATTTATTATCAAGCGAGCAAAGTGCGAGCGAAGCGAGCAAACTTTCGGATCTGCAGCGCTCCTCGAAAAACGCATATACCTACATGCCTACCATACAGCTAAATGAAGTAAGTAAACAAACTTAACCCTACTGGCATGAACATACAAGTTTTAACGGCCAAACTAATAATCCCCTCAAACATATATCTCGAATCTGTACATACAGTTATCGCGTAAACCTGTATTCTAGGCCGGCCGGCCGTGGTGACGCTTTTGCGAGGCTTATATCTCAGCAACCACTTGACCGATTTACATGCGGTGATTTTTGTAGGGTAGCTTCATTCTTTCTACCAAGTATTGGACTATTCCCAATGTACGTGGGTGACCACTTATGCACGTGCCACGTGCAAAACGAAGAGGTGTTGGTTTTGCAACAATTGCAATATCTCGGTAACGACTGGGCCGATTGCGCTGAAAGTTGGCATGTAGTCTTACTTAATAATGTGTCTCAATGCTTCTAAATCCTCTGCCGCTCATTCTCCGTCACTATCCACCCTAATCTGTGTTTTCATTTAAGAGTAACAAACCAACTTTCAACACGGCATTGCCGTACAGTGGGTCTATTTAAGATCTCCAGAGCCACCACGTGGCGCTACGGTCGGGGTAGGGCGAGTCCAAATCCCGAGGGGAGCGAGGTCACCGGTCATTGTGGGGGAAGGAGGGAGGGGGGGGGGGGGGTGACGCGCTGCTATCGCGGCGTGGAGCGTGCGTAGCGCCGGGAGTGGGCCGCCCGCCAATGCGCCGCGGCTGAGGGGAGGGGAAGCTGGTTGCGGGTGCGCTCCCTCAGGTATGGTGGTATCTCGGGTGCAGTGTCCTGAAATTGATTTTTAGGAGAGTGTGATTGAAGCCGCAAGGACGTCAGTATTTCAAAAGGACGTCGATATCGGTGCGGAGCCTCAGCCACTGAAGATCCCTTAAATCTCTTAAAATTAGCGATTTTCACTAGCAATTTTGACTAATAGCATCTGAAGGCACCTCAAAGGATCATATATAAACACAAAGTAATGCCAGTTTACCCCTAGTACAATATAAATTTCAATCATTCACCACAAACACCAAAACAACACTTTGAAGATGTCTAGTTCTTGTCCATGATCGTACACAAGTCAATAACAAATATGCTTCAACAAAAATCAGCCCAAGAGCCAGCGGCTATCACTAAATATTGACGTCATAAGAGGGATATTATATCGAGCAAGAGGAGTGACGTAAAAAAGCAGACGTCCAAACAAAGAGGTGGAAAACCGTTAGGAATATTAATTTCCATAGCTTCCTGTTATGAAATTCAATTAAGAAAACTCCAAGGTAGACGCTGAATTTTTCTTGGCTGGAAAAAATGTGAAATCATTGTGCACTTTTCAGTTTTGTACCGACGTCGATTTAATGGGAATGACAAGGTCAATCGACGTCCCCAACATTACGTGCATTTTTAAGCCAAGGACGACATACTTTAATTAAAACTGTTGAAATTCGGTAACTTTATTTTAATTCAAATAAATAAACACAAACTTTTTCCCCAACCACTATCAACATATGCAAAATTAACTACTTTTGAAGGGTAGGTTCAAGGGGCAGCGCTACCCCGTTACTGTGACCTTCTGAGGGGAAAAAATAATTAAATATGTTACAGTGATTTGATACAAAAGGTATGTTGTGTGCTTATAGATAAATGTCGAAGTAATATATTCGCATGATTCATTTTTATCTATACACTGCACAGTTACTAAAACTGAAAAGTGGAAAACGACGTCCTCAGATCCCTCTATTCCAACGTCTTTTCTCCTTTATATGGCAGCTATTACCTTCACATGATAAAGGAAAAAAACTATACATATCTGACGCACAGAAAACGAAAATAAAACCGCGTTGTTTACTGTTGGGCAGTTGGCCAGCGGTCTATGGCCTTGCCAGCGGTGTAGGAAACGGGAGTTGAGTATAAGAGTGGGTTTGTGAGGCCTTGGGGTATATTTATTATCATTTTGCATAGCTGTGTTTTTAGGCCACAGAGGTGATATTTCTTTTTGTTAGTTTGCTTTTAGTGTTCGATATACCTGTCGACTTTTATCTGTCAGGGACGTCGTTTGGCTTTCCGGGACGTCGCAAAGAGAATCTGTTCGGGTGTGGGTTTCCACCCAAATTCACGAAAATCAGAGGGGTGTTCACGGGCACCGCACACTGCTGCGTGCGGTGTGTGCGGTACGTCCAGCAGGCGTGGGGGTAGGGGATGGGTAGGCGACTCTGACGTCACGGCTGCGTGCGGTGGACGGTCCGCTGTGGCCAGTCCCGACCGGCCACAGCGGTCGCTGTGTGCGGTGACGCAAGGCTGACGTAGGGACGCAGTGGGCGGAGCTTGGAGGCTGTGTGCGGTCCGACCGCACACAGGGTCCGTGAACAGCCCTCAGGACACTGCTCGGGTGGTGTTTCACCACTGATATCTGCTGACGTCACACTTGTGGTAGTGTTGGAGCAATGGGCTTGTTGACGTCTCCGTGGAAACCCAATTTGACACGTAGTAATAGCAGCGTCCTGCGATCGCCGGTGAAACACCACCCTGTTCATGTGAAGCCAGCAAGAATGCGACTGAAGGGAATAGCTATCTCAAACAAACGGGCAAGCGAAATGCAACGCCTCAAACTTGCAGCAAAAATGTTAACCAATCATAATTGAAATCGAGGACCTATACTTTCAGTCGATCCTTGCATGATGTGTAAGGCTTTTCTAAATTTATATTCAGTTACATAATTTCTTTCATTATTTGACACGCTCAACCATGATGGGTTTTTATCGGATCGAAAAGAATCACGAGTTGAAATGGGTCCAGAGAAACGACCAAAAATAAAAAAAAAAATGAAAATTCATGAAACTCAGCAAAACATTAAAATAAATATATAGGTGCGACAATTTTGACTTTGTTAAGAGGATAGGGGAAGTTGGGGCAATGCCGGAGTTGGGGCAAAGCCGAAATTCGAGATATTTCGAAAACCGTAAGACATGGATGCCACCTTTCAGTGATGCTCTGAGGCTTAAGTGACTACAATTATCGCATGTTTGTTACGAGTCGTCATTCGGAATACTTCGGCTGTGAGGGCGCCAAGAGCGTTTTCAAGGTACGCGTTCCTTGTACTACATGCGCCTTTGAAGCTGCATTTCTTACTCATTATGCTACCGTTTGTCTGGCCAATTCGGTCAAGTAATCTTCAGCATGTCTTTGCATAAGTGTGCTGCCTATTTGAAATTTATACGGCACGTTGAAAAGTTATGGGCCTGCAAATGAAAGTATGGCTGGCTGGGGTAATGCCGAAAACGTGCAATTACGCACGTTAAAGCACGCTACGTGGACTTTACTGCTGTAGAATAGCAACGCGAATTTTTAGTCACACAAATTACACTTTCAACCGACACAACGGCCTGTTACCTATAAGGATTTATTTACCTGGCATTTTCTTATTATATCACACAATTATAACTTCCAGTGTGCACCAAGCGTCCTCAAGCTCTTAAAACGCGTGTCAGCTTTGATAAATTCTGGATAAAGTTTGAGATAAAGTGGCAAAACATCAATGTCGGCATTCCCCGTAGATCATTTCTCCCATTTTCGGCTTTCCCCGCAGTCCGGGGCAACGCCGAAAAAGTCACTTCTTTGATATTTTTAGTTTGTGCGCTTAACGGTATGCGAATTCATCAAATGCGCCTGGTATGTTTGAAAGGCAAAAGACTGGCCTCTCGAATGACGCCAACAAGAATAGCTTATGTTGTCTACCTTGCGTGCTACGGGCGTCAGAAAAAAAGTATTCGGCGTTCCCCCAACTTCCCCTATCGGGAAAGATAAATCACCGTGCTTGTCAGTTGTCAGTATTGCAGTAAAAGGAAAGGTTTTGGCTAGTATCTAGATAAAACCAGAGCCGAGTGGGGCTCGAACCCACGATATCGCACTCGGCACACAGATCACCCAGCCCCAACGCTACGAACACCTGTCGCCCTGCGTCCCTGCGCAGCTTGCTGGATAGTGTTTCGGCCAAAATTATTCGTTGAATGTCTGACGTCTGTGAATGTCACGAGGCCAAGCCCAAAGGTAAATGAGGGAGCCGAACCAGGGCCCAATCTTATAAAGGTTGTGCTACCAAATGGCGTACTATCATTCCACCCCACTCTATTTACGGCACCCTATTCACGCAATCTTATAAAGAGAATAGTATGGTAATTCTATTCACGCCATTTTGCCCACAGTACAAATCAACGCCAGCAGGAAACACGCAACGTGATTGGTCAATGTCTTGTCGCCGTCGCTATTGGAAATTATGCGTACTGTTTGCGAACAGCAAAAGTTATGTGTTTTAATTTTTATGGGGCATTTATTTCTTTTAGAAACACACATATGTGTAATGAATAAGCTATTTATGGAAAACGTGATAGCAAACTATGGAAAACACAAACATGCTTGAAGAATTCTCCTGAAAAGTGGATTGCCGACCAAATAAATTTCAGCGAGGGCATTCTCGCGCTCAGAAATTCGAGTGAATAAAGTGTTTCTTCTACTTATCATTTGCATTTATTTGCTGTTAAGGCATTGCAATAAATTTGTTAAAGAATTATTTAAATAGTCATTTAATTATAGCTCGGCTACTGTCTCAGTAATTTAAGTAATGCCGTTGACAATGAAGCTCCTACAATTTGAGCATCAGGATACGTACATTAACTGGATCAATTCAAGATATAGCTTGTTTTCCTTCTTGTCATAAGCTCTTGACATTTTCCTTCTTGAAGATAAACTACTAAAATTCGAAGTCTACGTACATGAACTGAATTAGGTCAAGTTGCAGCTTATTTTCCTTCTTATTCAAGCATAGGTACCTACCTGTTACCTAACCTAAAGCTAAAAAGCAATTCCTCAAAAGATTGAAGAACCCAGTCTACATATCAAAGCATATCAAGAAAAATACTCGGCTCAGAAGTCAGATCGAGATGCAGGAAGAGAAACAACACATTGATCCTTGTGCCAGACAGAAAGTGAGGAGATACGAATAGTGAGTAGGAATTAACAATTTTTTGACAAACTAAGGGTATATCA